AAGGAAGGAAGGAAGGAAGGAAGGAAGGAAGGAAGGAAGGAAGGAAGATTTCTGATGTTCCTGCTAGCTTCCCACAAAATCAGTGGGGAAGCCAGTAGCAAGTTGCAAGTCACTCCTACTCCCACTGCTTTTTTGCCCTTGGTCATTCTGTTTCTCTGTTTAGGTAAGGAAATATCTCTGAGGCAATGACCCAATGAGTCATGGGTTGTCTAGTAACTTTCTATCCTTGCAAATCATTCTTGCTTCCATCAAATCAATACTCGGGTCATACACTGCCTTTTGTTCTTTAAAATTCTTATCTCTGTCTTTTAAAGGATCTCCTCACTTCATTCAGTTCTCCCACCTCTTAACCTATTCACGTTTCCTTCATATATTCATTATGAGATTAGATCCTGGTTCATTCTCTCTATATGACCAAATCATCTCAATGCACTGTTTTCATATGGGTCACTTAGTTTTGTATTCAATCCATATTCGTTCATCACCCATTCATCACTGATGTTAGCCAGTGTGGTGCAGTGACGGGGTTGGACTGGCACAGCTGAGGTACAGGTTTAAGCCCACCTTCGTCCACAGAAACTTACTGGTGGACTTTGGGCCAGTCATTCCCTCTCAGTCCAACCTACCTCACAGGATTACAGTATTGCTGTGGGGAAGAATGGGGAAAGGGAGTGCCTTGAGCTCGTAAATGAAAGGCAGAATACAAATCTAACCAGTAGAGTTTGTGTGTGAGTTATGATATATTTTCTAAGTATCCCATTCCCACTGCATTCAGTAACAATGTTATGTTTCTTCCTCACCTGCATATAACAAACCAGGCAGCAGTATGCCCTTATTGACCACCATTTTTACTTCTTTCAACACATTATATAGTATTTTTTCCTCATTTTTTTTTTCAGCAATCATTCTGTTACATGTATTTTTTTTCCCAGATCCACAGTTCTTACGGTTAACAAGATATTTTTCCCCTGGATCACACTGACTCAGAATATAGCATAGTGTTTGCTAAAAATCATCCCTCATTCTTCCATTATCAACATTCAGTGGAACATAATATGCAGCTATAACCAACTCAGGCATTCTTGATGTTATATGCCTTTAAAACAATGTATAGTGGCAACAGTTTATATTTTCTGGCATACATTTTAGTCCTTTCATTTATAATTAAGCCTATACTTTTTCTTCCCTGCTAAGACCAAGCCATCTTCATTAAGATCATTACTTTCTTCTGCTTCCTCTTAATTTCCCAATATTTCCTTCCTTTCCTTTCCTTTCCTTTCCTTTCCTTTCCTTTCCTTTCCTTTCCTTTCCTTTCCTTTCCTTTCCTTTCCTTTTACTATGTTAGGGTTGTCACCAGATAGGCCTATAGATACTGTCTTTCAGTGTCCATTATGGTGTTGGTCAATTATTATTATAATTATTATAATAACAATTATTATATAATTCTCACATACTGACTTTTAGTAAAGATGGAGAATGTATAGGTTAGATTAACTGCCTTAGCTGCACTTGTGCCAAATGTAATATTCCCTGCTAATTGTAAAGATAGGCACAAATCACATTTTGTATACCACAAGAGCAAATGAAACAAACAGAAAACAGCACCCAGTTTTACTTGAAGCTTGCTCAGACTATTTGATGCAAACCAGGAACTCTAAAGATTACCTTCCAAACCAGCATATTGTTGGATGGATGGATGGATGGATGGATGGATGGATGGATGGATGGACGGACAGACAGACTTGGAGACATTCTTGACTTCTGGCAACTACATGGAAAAGTCCATGCTGTTTTCTTGGCAACATTTTCAGAAGTGATTTGTCCTTGCCTCCTTCCTACGGTGACTCAAAGTCACCCAGCTGATTTCATGTCTAAGGTAGAAATCTCTTGTTTCTAACCCAGTGCCTTTAACCACCACATCAAACTGTCTCTCATAAATTTATGGGCTACCCCAGTCTCTAACAACTCTGGGCAGGTTACAAAATAAAACAATAGATCTCAGATCTCACCAGCTAGCAGGTTCATATACACTCATAATGCAGACAACAGGAAGGTAGGACATAAGTGTAAGTGATAAAAATAACATAAGTGTTGCCGAACTGCTTTAAAAATAATAGAATAGAATACACTAATAACTGGGCAATATATGTTACATATATGCTTGCTTTGTTGATCTATAATGTTCATGTGTAGTAAAAATGTAATTACTCAGCAAAAGTTTAATTTTGCCTTACTGCCAGTATGTATGTATAAAATGATCTAAGTAATATTTCAGGAAAGATAAAGATTTAATTTAACACTGTGACTTTATCCCAGCTAGAAGTTATGACAAAGAAAAAAATCCACCAATGTTCTGCCTACCAGGAACCATCGAACAATAAGGTCTAATTATGAATAATTTCACATACATATTTCTAACCAATGAAAAGATTTATTTCACTCAAGCCTCATATTATGAAATAACATATTATGAGAGTGACCCATTTTTAACTCTCAGGGATGCACCGAACAATGTGTTACCTCCTTCATATAACTGCATCCTCACAATTATTTTATGCTTTTCTTTCTTTCTTTCTTTCTTTCTTTCTTTCTTTCTTTCTTTCTTTCTTTCTTTCTTTCTTTCTCTCTCTCTCTCTCTCTCTCTCTCTCTCTCTTTCTTCTTTCAAGGCTTTTTGGTTTCCTATTTCCTCCTGGTGAGGACATCTGGATCATTCAGTTTCCAGGGTAGCTCTAAGGTAGCTCTAAGGCAAATTTCAAACAAAATCATCTAACAGGAGTATATAGCTACTGAGAAAGAGCATGTTTTTTTGTTTACTACAGAATGTATAAAGAGAGCAGCTAAACTGGTCCCAACACCAAGAACAACCAGCTTGACCTAATCATACTTCTGTCACTGCACTGACATCCTGCAGTAATGTGAGTCAGTCCCTGTTTATCAAGAGGCTCCTGTAGTTCTGACTTCCGGGGAAGCAATGGTGGATATAAGAAGGCTTCATGCAAGTGGAGCTGACGGCCACAGTGGAAAGAGGAGATGGTGAATGGATTGACTCCTTGGAACCCCTCTCCAGATCAAGGAGAGGATTAGGGTCACTCACAAGTTTGCTTCATATACAGGCTCCCCACAAAGAGATTGCAAAATAGTGATCTCTGCTGGGTTTGAGAGCTCTGGGGACTGGGGGGAAATCATCTTGCCTAAGCTGCAGATTGGTGCCTTCAAATGGACACTGGGTTCGCCCACTTCCTCTCTTAACTACTTTAGGAAACTATTTATTATCAACATTTTAGATAAGAACCTTTTGAAGGGCAAGTTTAATTACACAGGAAGAGCTTCCTTTTATCCTGGATGAAATAAGTTTTATGTAAGTTTAAAGATTAAATAAAAATATTTTAATTTTGGGGAAATAGCAAAAGAGTGTCTAGAATTTTTTGGAAAGTTAAGGGTTCAGATGGACTTGAAAGAATATTTTCTATGGGTTGATTAAATTTTATAAAAGTATATATGAAGATTTTGAAATTAACTATAACAAATCCTCCTGTGGGAAAGTTTTGCTGACTGGAGAATAAACATATGATAAGAGGGGACTTTGAAGGTTGACTAGAGGGAAACAGAGAGAACTAAAGGATACAATTAAAGGAGAAGAGACATATTAATACAATAGAGCAATATTATTTGACTACAGAAGAAATTAAAGTTGTTTGGGAACAATGTACTCATACATTAATTTCAAGATTGTCTGCCACTATAGAAAAACATATAACAGAGGTTACAGGAGAGGAACAGACTTTACGAGATAAAATAAAGACAGGCTGATTTGAATGCAGATTTGAAAATGGATTTGAAAAAAAAACAAACACCAGACTATAAGAGTGATATGGAAGAAGATGATGTGGATTTGAAAACAGATTTAAAAATGACAGACTGAGTGATACTGGAAAAGATACCATAGGGTATTTACAAATGAAACTGGCTGATGTTTTAATAACTAGAAAAGGACATACAAATAATAAATCAGAAGAGTGACTTGCATAGCTTTTTCATTTTCGACTTACAAAATAGACCTGTTAAACTACTGAATCTGTTCCTGAGAGGAGACAAAGAGAAAAAGATAAGAAATCAACTTGTGGGACACTATTTGTCAGGATTAAAGACCAAGCTTTTTAAAAGTAAATGGAAGGACTACAAAGTGAATCTATTTGAACAGGGTTGAAATTAACTAGAAAAGGACATACAAATAATAAATCAGAAGAGTGACTTGCATAGCTTTTTCATTTTCGACATACAAAATAGACCTGTTAAACTACTGAATCTGTTCCTGAGAGGAGACAAAGAGAAAAAGAGAAGAAATCAACTTGTGGGACACTATTTGTCAGGATTAAAGACCAAGCTTTTTAAAAGTAAATGGAAGGACTACAAAGTGAATCTATTTGAACAGGGTTGAAATATATGTATATATTAAGGTGTCCGGTAGCTATTAATGGAATTTCTTTATGACTAGGACTGAATGATGATGCTTTAAAGGTTTGTTTACAACTGGGGAGAGATTTCTTTT